ACTGAACTCAAGGCAGCAGAGATCTGTCTCCCTGGAGAAAATGACTGCTTTAGAAGGTGGACTCTGTGGCATTATACCCAGCTGTGGCCTCTCCCTTCCCCAATCCCACCTCAAAACCTCTAGGGACTCCCCAGGCCAGGCCCCAAGGCTCCCTCCCTCCCTGAAACGCCAACGGAGGCCTGGAAAAGGGCCCTTCCCCCACCCCCTTTGACTCACAGAGCCAGTTAGAAGCCTTTCCCCCCCCCGCCCTCTTTCTCACAGTTGGTGTCTGAAGCAGATCCCTGCAGAGCCCATTTCAAAGGGTTTTTGGGGGAATTCAGCCATCCCTGGAGCGATTTTCTTAGTTTTTGCATTTTTGTGCAAATACAGGAAGTGTACTGAGCAAATAGGAGCAGCTTCTGAGGCAGAGCGAGCTTCCTTTTCCTCGGATTAAGTATCCGCACGGCGCCCTCTGTTGGCTATTAGAATATATGATATGGTATCAGATTGATCTAATTTCTGTGCACTGAGGACAAGCAAGTCCTAGGTTACAAACTGAACTCTCCAATGCAAGAACAAGATGCATTTCTTTCTTTAGGAGGTGCTATTGTCAGAAGAAAATAAAAAGGTTCCAGTTTTGTTTTTGCATGTGGGTGGGTATTCTGTTTGTAATAATTGTTTGTATACACTATATTTTTAATATGCTAGTTGTGATAATTTCATGCCAAGTAAAAATGTCCATAGTCATATTTTATGTTCCTAAAGTAACAGAATGACTTTCAATCTAGAAAATACAAAAGAAATGCTAATGTAGGATTTTTTTCAATTTTTCCAAAAATTGTTTTTTTCAGAAAAAAAATCTGGGAAACCGGGTTTTTTTCCGAGCTTCAAAATTTCCGGAAATTTTACATCTCTAGCCATATGATGGCCTGAAGTATGGTCTACAGTAGGGAACTGCTGGGTACAAATCTGGCTTTCTCTGTAGGTTCTAGCTGCGTGTGGATGATTAGCTCTGCGTGGTAGCTGGGAACCACAAGCTTGTTCCCTGGCATAAGGCCCACTTTATATGCCACTTGCATAGTTACACTATGGTATCCAGAAAGAAAAGCCCTGTCTAGTGTAATCCCAATATGAGGTGGTGGTAAAATGAGAACAATTCAAATCTGGTGGAAATGATCCAGGGCTGCCTTCCCATTAATCCTGATTACGTCATTGATATGTTTCTGGCAGAGATGAGGCTCTTGGAAGTAGGAGCAGTAGAAATATTACTCTGTTAGCACTTAAACAGCTTGAGCATACTGTGGAACTGTTGAGATACGTACAAGCATGCAGTTGATACGAAGCTATAAATCAGAAACATGTTTTTCGGGAGGACAGACTGACAGATCAGCAGCAAAAAAAGCTTATACTCGGAATAAAACTTTGCATCTATTAAAAACAAGAGTTCAGGACCTTAAAGACGTAATAAAAACATACTCCAGTATGAAGTTGGAGTCCAGTAGCACCTTTAAAACTGACAGGTTTAATTCTGGGGATAAGCTTTGGTGCGCATGCACACTTCTTCAGATACCGTCTCTGAAGAAGTGCGCATGCACATCAAAGCTGACACCCAGAATTAACCTTTGTTGGTCTTAAAGGTGCCACTGGACTCAAACTTCGTTCTGCTGCTTCAGGCCAACAACGGCTACCCCACCTGAATCGAGACCATCAGCAGACAACCCTTTGTACAGGCGACTGTCAGCTTCACATACACCACTGGAAATACTTCTAAAATAGCCAATAGCCCAGGAATTCAAGTTGTGTTTTGCTTAATTTTCAGAACTGAGTAAAGCAATCAGCCTGGACTTGCCGGAAAAGGACAGGATGGCACAGCTTCTCCTCTCCAGTTTTCGGGTAAGGTTGGCAACCGTGCTAGCCTTTCCGCTCTTCAGTGAATGTATTCTGCCGTGTGCTTTTCATGTAAAACCCTAAATCACACTGAACAAAATATGCTCAGCTTCCATAGTGCTGTTTCAGTAGTGAATTCAGTTGTAAGGCACCCTAGCACTTGATAGAATGGTGACTAATAATGAATGCAGTGCTTCAAAATCTGCTTGTATTCATTTCTCACTTCCCTTGCATGTCTACCTCGCAAACATGATTTAAAAAACAAGTAGACGAGTCATCCTGAGTTGATGTCCGCCATGGCAGTGGGCTGTAATCCACAGGCAAGGAGCCCGTAGGCTCTTGGTCTTAAGTTTGCACCCTTGGCTATGCTTAGGCTACAAATACCTGCAGTGAGCGAGTGAGAAAACACTCATCCTAGATGTTTTGAGCTGCAGTTCCTCCTCCTGATGAACTCCCCACCTGGCAGTCCAGGGACCTCCATAGTAATCTGTAAGGCCTTTGGCTATCCTGCAGTAGGAGAATTTTGCGCAGTTTGATTTTTATAGTACTGTTTTCAAACAGAATTCCTAACACAGCTTTCTTTTGGATTGTGCATGCAGCACATCAGCTATGCTCCCAAATTGTGAACCTCTGATTGCGACATGGCACCTATTTTATTTCAGAACTTCCCCACCCGAGAAAGGATAATCTTGGGCAGCTTCAGGCCCTCAGGTGACTGTCTGGCGTGGGTCCTTGAGAATGCAGGCATTGGCCGTCCCAGTGCCAAGGCACTGTGCTGAGAAGTCTGCAGTGATCTTTAGCTTCTGTGTCCTCCTGCTCTGGTGCCTCCCTGTTCCTCTCTGATTGCTCTGACAGTCATACAGCTTTATCCATGTTGGGGAGCATTGCGAACAGCACACACAAAAAATGCTCCTAAATATGTCTCCATCTTCTCTCCATCCCTGCAGTATGCTGCCCAGAAGTTTAAAGATACCTTAAAGCACACCAAAGGGTTTAATGCTGAAACCTTTGAACGGAAAGGTAGGTCTGCTGTGTTCTGCTGTAGTGCTTTTTCTGTTGCTGCTGCTGGTGGAACGTGGGACTCTTCGCATGCAGAGCATGGGGTTTTAGCTCACTGTCATCTTAATTGAACCCTGACTACCCCCTAGAATATACCAGTTGCATCCGTATGGTCATATATGTGGTCATATGGAACCTAGGCCTCTTCGCATGCAGAGAATGGGCTTTTTGCTCATTGTCATCTTAACTGAATCCTGACTACGCCCTAGAATATACCCGTGGCATCCTTGTAGTCATATGCTGCAGGAGAAGACTGGCAGAGTTGGGCGGTATTTTTAAATGAGGCTTTCCTGCCTTTTCTCCTCTTACTGAGGAATCCATGGGTTCCCTCACACATAGCCGGAAGCAAGCTGTCTTAATCCGTCTGAGATGACACAACCCACAAGCCAAAGTCTGAAAATCCTTTTTCTTAACTTCCTCCTTCCACTTGCAGAGGGTCCTTCCTCCCACAAGGAAGGCGATTTTCAGTAACGTTCCCTCCATCCCACTGCAGACTTCTGCTTTGCCTCGCTCCCATTGTTCCTACTGGTCCGTTGACAGAACTGGGGTGGTGGTGGTGGGGGTGGTGGTATGCTGTAGTGGGAGATCATAAGAGCATGAGGCTTAGTGGTCCATCAGCTCCAGCATCCTGTTTCACGCAGCAGCCAATCAGCTGCCCTGCGGGGCCAACAAACAGAACACGGCAGACAAGGCCTCCCCTTGGACATTGCCTCCTAGCGCGGGTATTCACAAGTCGAAGTTTGCCTCTGCAAGCACCCCTCCGTTGGTGCAACTTAGAATCCAGCATATTTGTTTTGTCCCTTCCTCTGCTTTCAGCGAACGAGATTTCAGAAGAGCTGAGATTTTGCACTAAGAGGCTGGACCTGGATGGAACTCTTCAAAAATGTTTTGAAGAACCCAAAGGGTAACGATCGCTTCCCGTTGGTTACTCCAGCCGAATATTAAAACAATCCCTGCTTTCAGACATGCTTACGGTTAAATATACAGATGAGTGCTAGATGCCCAACAATACAATAACAAAAGAGACTAGATTAAAGCCATAACATAATTTAGTGTCTGGTAATAAAAAACAATCACTTATTCCTTCATAGAAAAAATACAAAGGTCAATAAAACTTCACACAGCAGTCTGCTCCAGACTCTCTCAAGGCATAGTGTGGCTCCATTTTACTTTGGCAGCATCAGCATGCTTGGAAATAAGTGAGGAGACCTTGCCCAAATAGATTCACAGAAAAATAAATCAATGAAAGTGTCAACTTGAATGTAAGATTCCTATATAGGATTTGTTCCTGAGGAAAGGCCAGAGGTTTGAAACACTTAGATATCCAGAAAAAGTGTTGACTGTAAATATCCGGAATAAGTGTTGAAAGAGAGACCGAATTTGGAGCAGACTGCTTTTGAAAATACAAGAATGTTAGAAGGATATTGACTGAGAGAGTTTGGAGCAGACTGCTATGTGAAGTTTTATTGACCTTTGTATTTTTTCTATGAAGGAATAAGTAGTTGTTTTTTATTACCAGACATTAAATGATGTTGTGGCTTTAATCTAGTCTCTTTTGTTACTGTATTGTTCTGTGGGCATCTAGCACACATCGGTATATTTTTTCCATGCCAGACTGTCTTGGGACTGTGTGTTATTCTTGTGGAATGCTTACGATTAAGACTATCTACTCTCAGTCTTGCCTTCCTGACTTTCACTTGTTTGAGTGCAGTGAGCACAGTTAATAGCTGCCCTGTCTCCTTGGCACCAGTGGATGGTCTGAAAGCTGACTCTGATGCTATAGCATTTTTGAAGCTAAGTGAGCCTGCTTGGGCTCTAGAAGAGAGACCGAGCAAGCAGCTGTCTAAAGAAAGCAGGTTAGAACATGCACCGAAGCTGCAAAGGTTTTCTTTGCCACTCTGTCATAACTTTAAACTTTCTGTATCTCAGTGATTCATCAGCACTTATTCCTTCATAGAAAAAATACAAAGGTCAATAAAACTTCACACAGCAGTCTGCTCCAGACTCTCTCAAGGCATAGTGTGGCTCCATTTTACTTTGGCAGCATCAGCATGCTTGGAAATAAGTGAGGAGACCTTGCCCAAATAGATTCACAGAAAAATAAATCAATGAAAGTGTCAACTTGAATGTAAGATTCCTATATAGGATTTGTTCCTGAGGAAAGACCAGAGGTCTGGAAAAAGTGTTGACTGAAAGAGAGACACAGATTGAATGAATTTGGAGCAGACTGCTTTCGGGAATTTGGATAAGGATTGTTAGAGGGATATAGATTGAGAGAGTCTGGAGCAGACTCCTATGTGAAGTTTTATTGACCTTTGTATTTTTTCTATGAAGGAATAAGTGGGTGTTTTTTATTACCAGACATTAAATGATGTTGTGGCTTTAATCTAGTCTCTTTTGTTACTGTATTGTTCTGTGGGCATCTAGCACACATCGGTATATTTTTTTCATGCCAGACTGTCTTGGGACTGTGTGTTATTCTTGTGGAATGCTTATGATTAAGACAATATCTACTCTCAGTCTTGCCTTCCTGACTTTCACTTGTTTGAGTGCAGTGAGCACAGTTAATAGCTGCCCTGTCTCCTTGGCACCAGTGGATGGTCTGAAAGCTGACTCTGATGCTATAGCATTTTTGAAGCTAAGTGAGCCTGCTTGGGCTCTAGAAGAGAGACCGAGCAAGCAGCTGTCTAAAGAAAGCAGGTTAGAACATGCACCGAAGCTGCAAAGGTTTTCTTTGCCACTCTGTCATAACTTTAAACTTTCTGTATCTCAGTGATTCATCAGTTCCTGTTTTAAGCACATCGCTGACTACCTTGAAGGAGAATATAGCCAGGTAAGAGAGGGTGTGAGCCACCGGCTGGTGTTTGCAATATTACAGACATTTAGGGAAATTAAAACACAGGGCTGTTGATCGCTGGATACCTGATAACTTGGTAGTATAGTAACGTTCTGCAGTTTCCCCCCTCACTGGCAGTCTTTAAGCAGCAGCTGGACAAACACTTGTCAGGGATGCTCTAGGCTGATCCTGCATTGAGCAGGGGGTTGGACCAGATGGCCTGTATGACCTCTTCCAACTCTGATTCCATGATTACTGCAATTACGTAGTCCTGGCCTAAGGTGCATGTGTTTGTTCTCTCCCTGTCTTTGTTCTGAATGCTGATGTTTGGTATCCAGTCACTAAGACTACTTGTAGCTGTGCTTGTGCCCAGTGTAGACATAGTTCTGCCAGTCTCCACCAGGGCTAAGAAATGAGGAACTGGCCACAGGCTTACCTAGTTCCCTTGTGATGCGAATTCTCTCTCCTCATGCCTTTCAGCTCTAGCCTAGGTCAGTGGTCCTCAGTATGGTACACATGGGTGCCATGATGCCCATGGATGCCTTTCCTGGTGTGCGCCAAGTGGCTTTAAAAAGCGGGCAGGGCCGGGGGGGCGGGTTCTGCCCAGCAAGGCTTCTGATTGACCGTGGGAGGTTTGATTGGTTGTGCAGATTTTTAAAAAATGTTGTTTTGGCAGCAGCTGCCAATGCAGCACAAAGATCTTTTACTGCGTGGCTGAAAGTAAGCCGTGGCAGCCATTTTGTGGCCAATTCCACCTCCCGTGGCAGCCATTTTGTGTCTGAACTGTCCAATGTTCCCTCTTATTTTTTTCCCCTACTGAGTGGAGCAGTGCACAACCTGAGCAGAATATAACTGCTATAATCTAACAATGGGCAGTGCAAGACGCTGTGCAGCTCCAGATTGCTGTCGAACGGGGCTTCTTTTGTTAATGAGCAGCTGCTCGTGGGCACAGCTTAGCGGGAATACTGGTGACCACCATGTCCCTATAAAATCCTTTTATATCTTGTTATTAGATATGAAAATGCAAGATGAAGTAGTGAAATCATCAATGATTAAATGGGCACAAAATATGGGGCATAATATACAGTTAGATCAATGGACTAATGGAAAACAAATGTAAAATATACAAAAGCTATATCATACAAAGAAAATATATATAATGATTTATAGATGGCATATGACTCCAGAAAATTTAGCAAAATGGTATCCAAATATGTCAAATGTATGTTGGAAATGTAAGCAAAATATTGGTTCCTTTTTTCATATGTGGTGGTATTGTAAGATAGCAAACAAATATTGGATATGGATATATGAGAGCAAGAAATGCTAGAAACAACTATTCCATTTGTACCGAACTGTTTTTATTAAATATTATTCTAGAGAATTTTAAGAAACTAGACACTTATTTCATAATACATGTTATAACCACAGCTAGGATTTTGTATGCAAAATTTTGCAAACAAGAAGAAGCTCCATTAAAAGAAGAACTAATTTATAAACTAATGGAAACAGCGGAAGTGGACAAATTAACTTTACAGTTACAAGACAAAAAAGAAGAAATCTTTGAGAAAAACTGGTCAAGATTTTATAAATGGCTTGAGGAATACCTCAGATGATGTACAACATAATTTTTAAGACATAAGCTCTCTACACTAATGGTTAAACTGGTTTAGGTGCATAAATGAACGATTCTACCTATGTAAAATTTAAGTAGTTATAATGAGTATATGCTCCATTTTTGTTTCTTGTGTTATGTGTTGTTTTCTATTGTCTGTGTGTCTTTCTATGCTGAAAATTAATTAAATCTCTTTTAAAAAAATTATTTGAAAGGTGCCTGCAGGCTCAAAAACGGAGAGTCTTGCCTAGATCAGGGATCTCCAGCCGTTTTGAGCCTGTGGGCACCTTTGGAATTCTGACACAGGGGGGTGCCGTAGAAGGCAGAGCCATATGCACAGGAAGCTGAAGAGGGCTGAGCGAGTAAAACAGAGGGCAGAGAGAATAAAATAGGCTGTGGTGGCAGCTGCCGCTGAAACCGTATTGTTTTAATTTGTTTAGCCGATTAGCTCTTTAGTGACCAGTCAGAAGAAGCCCTGTTGGGTAAGAGCCCCGCCCCCTTTCTAAAACCACTTGGTGGTTGCCTTGCCAGCAAAGGTGGTGGTGGGTGCCATGGCCCCTAAGGGCAAAACATTGGGGACCCCAGCCTAGATTGTGTTAGCAGTACCATTGAAGTATGGTAGCAGTTAAGCCAGAAACATTCTGACATAAGCCACCTTGCAGGCCTCACCCAGCACAAAAGCATAATTTGGCAATAGCTGTTCTGCAACTCAGTTAACAGAATACTAGACGATCCTCCATGCATTGCTTATGTAAACCTAGCCTTGGTTCTCGGATAACTTCGTACTGTCTGTCATGACGGCTAGAAACTGGTCTTTTACCATTCATTCCACAGGCTCACAGAAGAGAATCAAGCCTGGGATCGATTGCTTTGGTCTTACCAAAGAAGAGCTGAAGAAATATCAAGGTTAGATGGTTAACTTTTCCCATTTTAAGACAAGCTTAACTGAAGATACAGTATCAGAGCACTGTGGAAGTAATCCAGAGGTTGTAACATAAACACTTGGTGGATTTATGTTTTCCCATAGGAGACTAGTTGTACTTTGTTAGCTGTTCACTCTTATGAGAGAGAAATTATTAATGTTTCTTCTCCCCCTTTAAAATAAATGTCAGGAGTTTTAGTATCTTGGCATATGTAATATTTGGTGTGTGTGTGTGTGTTTTAATATATATACACACGTGTTTTTATATACACACACAAATGCACATGTTTTAATATATACACACACATACATATGTTTATATATACTCATACATGTGTTTTTATATACACACACAAATGCACACACACACACACATTTTTGTGTGTTACATTTTGATGGGCTAGTTCATTTCCGTCATGTGTGAATTATGCATGATAAGTTTTTTATTTTTATTTTTTAATTCATTTGTACCCTGCCTTTCTCTTCAATGGAGACCCAAAGTGGCTTATTTCATTCTCCTCTCCTCCATTTTATCCTCACAACAACCCTGTGAGGTA